TACATTTTCACTCCATTATATATAATTGAGTTCTTGATTTGACTACTTGTTGGGATAGGAACCTTTAATTGGCTAGCTTGTCTAGTATTATTGTGGTGAGGCGGAGAAGTAAAGGTACCTTTGTTCTTGTGTATAAAGCATGTTGATTCAAGAATAAACAATGAAGTCACAGTTAAAATTCCATGCATTAAAAACAGTGGCTTACAAGGTTCATTCCACTTTGCTGCACAGAGATACCGTACCACACGTTATTGTAGTAGAAAACAGATTGAAACAGCTGTTTACTGCATACACCCCAAAATGTTACGCCACACCTTAAGTGAGAGTCTATGAGGGCATAATAAACATCTTTTGCTGCGTGAAATCCTAGTTCCTTTGATACTATTCTGAGTGCAAAACACCCTGAGGAAAGTTTCTTGTTTATAATGGCTATATGCTCCTCGATATTAATTGCCAAGAATTTTGTAGAGATCTTATTTTCCACTACTGTACTTTCCATATGAATTTCTGGTAGATTCCACTTGAAAGTGATTGTACTAGTTTTTTTAGTGTTGAATGACAGCAGATTCGCATCGCACCATTGTTTAATTTCGCTGAGGTCATTACACATGCTTTCATATAAATGCTGTTGATTTATATTATGCCACAAAAGTGTGATATCATCTGCAAAAATGGTGAAACTACCAGAAATACGTACTGGCTACTGTACGTATTTCTGTACATCCTGTAAGATAGGATTCAAACCATTTCAGGCAGTTTCCAGCAACTCCATAATGATGTAGCTTCCGCAGCAGTATTCTGTGGTTAACACAATGAAATGCTTTTGACAAGTCACAGAATACTGTCGCAGTCGCCTCACCATCATTCAAGTTGCTGTATGCTTTATGAAGAAAATTAAATATTGCGTCATTAGTGCTTTTGTTTTCCTGAAACCCAAATTGATGAGGAGTGATTATTTTGTTTATATTTAAATGGTCATTAAGTCTTATTTTAACTGTTTAAAATCTGTTTTTCCATTAATCAGCTTTGCGAGAGTTGGTTGTAAAGATATTGGTCTTAGGTTTGATGGACCATTAGGATCCCCCCCTTAGGCAAAGGTATGACCATTGATGTTTTAAGAAATTGTGGAAAAACTCCACGCCTGAAAGGGTCATTTATGAAGCAGTAACGAAATCTCCGCTTGGGCTCCCCTATTATATCAATTGTTGTATTTTAAGTTGAGAATTTGAGATTTAGGAACAGGACATTTATAGAACACCACTCAGAAATTTGATCAGTTACTTCATTAGCTTTGACGCACGAGTTATGACTGAACTTTTTTCTCAGTTATTCCATTGAACATTATTTATGAAATAATTGCTGAAAACTCAAGTATTTGTAGTAAAAAGGTACGCGAACTCTTAAAAAAATAATGCAAATGTTCAATTTTGCAGGCTATGTATACTCGATTAGCGATTTAAAAAAAAATTATGTCAGTACATTCGTCTTGACTTCTCTTTTTCAGTTCTAAATACAAACTCTGTCTGAAAAAACGACTTACTCTTGCATGAGGTATTCCTGTTGTCGTATTAAAAGCTGGTAGTAATCGATATCCAACATCTTTCGCCATGTTCAATAATTCTCCCTTATACCAAGGCATTATGCCGTCTCTCTGTTGTAAGTACTCGCTTAGGATATGTGCTGACAAAAGTCCTCTGAAAAAATTTTGTAAAAACAGAAAACATTGTTTTCAAAAATACTTACCCCACAACTCTGATATTTGTTTCAAAAACTGACACCACAACGTCATTATCGAAGGTAACGTCTTTTATAATAAGCTTTACAGCATGCTCAAATTCTTCCAAGTCACCCAAAATAACCAAAGTATCCAGAGTGTCAATTAGGGTTAGGGAAAAGCTGAAAAAAAAAACAAAATTTGCTGAGCTGACCAAAACTTTGAAAATGTAAAAAGAGTAATATAAACAACTGGGAGTGTATGAAAATCGACTCCAGTACTCTAAAAGTAGTTACAAGTTGTTTGCTCATTTGAGATGTTTTCAGGGAGGCTCAATTTGTATATTTCGGCCAGTCCGCTGACAACAAATGGAATTTGCTGAATTTAGATTCATATCGATCCAAACAGAAAAGAAACCTGATAAAAATTAGCTGAAGTACTGGATGATGATACTGCTGAAGAAACAATAAAATTCAAAACAAAAAACGACCTCCTCTGAACTTGAAGAAAACTCTAATGGAAAAATATAATTTTGTCTTCAAAAAAAAACTACAATAAATTTCAACATGGAATATACAGTGCATTTCTTTAATGAACGGGACAACTCAAAAAATTGAAATTTGGGATAATGAAATTAATGCAAGAATACTTTATTTTGAAGTGAAATTGACAGACGAAACTTTCAAGATGGCGATTGGGCGCCATCTGTGAAACAAAATTAAATGGAAAGGGGGGTCTTGTGACACATCTTTTTGAAGCTCCTGACGAATGCTTCACAACCCTAGAATATAATGTCAATATCTTCAACTACTACAAAATGGCGGAACTTTTAATAATTGCCTTAAAAATTTTGACATTTAACTACATAATATGAGGTAATAAGCTTGAGGTCAGTTCAGAAGATGCTCGAAATGATTTCCTTGAACTCCTTGACATATGAACAGCCTATCCGATATTTCACGCCAAACATTTTCGAACACAGTAACGTCAATATCTCTTCTATAAATAATTATTATTCAATATCCAATATTGAAGGAGGTTCAGTTTCCTACACCTTTTGCTTCAAATAGCCCCATAAAAAAAGTCCAAAGGTGTCAAACCTGGCGAGCGGGCTGGCCATTCTGTAGGACCTCGACGGCCAATCCAACGTCTGGGAAAAGTAGTACCCAAATAGTTTCTTACTTGTCTGGAGTTATGTGGTGGTGCTCCATCTTGTTGGAATACAATATCCATATCAAATTCATTAGGATTCGCTTCGACGATTTCACTGATGAGAGGGTCAACAGTAGTTTCCAGCATATTCAAATACAATTCCCCTGTTTAATTTTGATCAATAAATAGAGGTCCTACAATATGGTTTCCCAATATTCCTGCCAAAACGTTAATTTTTTCTGGATATTGGGTATGTGTTTCCCGGAAAACGTGAGGGTTGGTGTCACTCCAATAACGGTAATTTTGTCTGTGAACATTGCCATTTGAAAAAATTGTACATTCGTCACTAAAACAAATATTGTGGAGATAGGTCATAGATGTAATGATTTCCATCATGATTTCGCAGAATTCTGTTCTTCGATCAGGGTCATCTTCAGTTAATTGGTGTACCATTTTAATTTTGTATGGCGGGACATTACAGAAATGCACTGTAGACATGAAAGCGGTCGGTTAAAAAACTTGCTAACACCTTTTTCATCTTGCATATTTAAATAAATTGTGGATGAACATTTTTTTTTTCATTGTGTAAGCATGTCTGCCTGTCAGGCTTCAGGATCGTTCTGAAGAAGATAACGAATGGAGCGAATATTGTGATGGTCAAGAATACTTTAGTAACTTTGCTCTGGGTACTCGAAGTTATTAATAATAGTTTAAAGTGTAATTACAGAACAACTATCAGTGTTTTTGGGGTATTTTTGTTCTTACTAATTAAAAACCCGATAAGCATAACAATAAAATTGCAATAGAATTGTGCACAACTGGAATTGAAACAGGTTGAAAATTAATAAATCTTCATATTGAATTTTTTTTCAGTTGTAACTATCAATGTATAGATTTTATTGAAATCTTCAAAATGTATCCAAATATACGTATGGATGATCAACATATTACTTGAAAAACTTGTGACTTTCGAGTGGATCATGGAGATCAATCAATTGAATAATTTCAGGAATGAAATTTTAGCTCAAATCACGTTTAAGACATAAAAAATGAAATCCAATACGAAACCAGAGAGTCTACGGTTAAATTTATTGTTATCTTTAGAAAATATTCAAACACTATGATAAGTCACATAGTCAAACAATTTATGCACATATTTATTGTAAAAAATTCTAATGGGGTAAAATGAAATGATTATTGAAAACAATTTTTACAACTAATGGAACATCTACAAATTACACTTTTAATCAGTGTTTAATGTTTAAATTTTTTTACCGTTATTATCTGAAAACAACTATTGAACACTGAAATCAAATATACAGGTACAAAGTCTATTAAAAAAAACAACATTGTAAAGATAAAAACAGGATTTATATAAAGTGAATATTTAACAAAACTTTGAGAAAAGCTTTGTTAGAAGTATGTAATTTTTCTGCTTCAAATAAATCTGTTTACTCCCATCTCTTGTCTTTTTCCGTAATTAACTGTTGCTGATCTTCAGCATCTTTTCAGTTTTGTTGATAGAGTTACCCATTATATATGTATAATGATTTGTTTGGCTGACTTTTGATCTTTCATTTTCGATTTATATTCGTTCGATAGTTCAGTATAGGTTTCGGGAGATTTGATTTGAAGTCCAGTCTTCCGAGAGCAATCTTGCTCTAAATTCCTTAATATTTTCTGTGTGGAATTGTCGTCTTGAGTTTTCTATTATAGCACCATTTTCTGTTTCAGTTCTTCTGCTATTGAAACTGATTGTTCTTGATTAGAAACTGAGTTTTCCCAAGTGATCGGAAGAAACGGATATTTGAGACAATTTAGGATGTATAAGTTCAATCTTGTCATGACATCCAGCAAATTTGAAGGATGTTTTTGCTCTCGAGAGTGGAATTGCTTAGCATTGAACATATTTTCCTCTGCAGGTTTCAATGTGGGCGAGTAAAGCCTTACATAAGAACTACTTTGCTATTTTTGTTGGTTTCAAGCCATCAGTTCAATACTTCATTTTTCATTATACTATTGAGTTCTATAAGCTGATGGAACATGTTCAACTGATGCAAGCTTTTCTTCACAGTAAAAGGTTTGTGTGATAAATCCTCACGCTATTTTTTTTAATGACAAACCCATAGGGTTCATCAATAATAATAGAGGTAATTTTTTTAGTTTACTAATAAAAAATATGTTCTTTAGAAAGAATTAAAGGTGTATAAGACTAGTTTGTTGGATAATCACACTTTGTAAAATTTCATGAATTCACTTACTTTCCCAAAGAATCGTCAATATCTCCCCTGTTGGGAGAAACTCCTCTATAGCGACCAGCACAACTTAGAGGCATCAACTCATCTGCAGGATACGCATTGTACATATATGCGTTGTAGGCATGGTAAAACATATCTCTGGCTTCCTCCCTTCAAGAAAAATGTATTTATTACAAGGAAATATTTTTCCACGTCAGGATCATTACCTCAGACCAATCCTTTCTTCCTTGGATATGTGCTTTATTCCATGACATGATGAGAATGTAAGGATTACAATAGTNTTTTCAATGTGAAATGTCCAGGGTAGGGGAGTTATTTAGATACAGAATTAGATGAATTTTATATCTAATTTTTTTTTTCATTTTCAATGTCAGATATGAAGGATAACCAACTGGTTCATCTATCAAAAAATTCTGAATTACCATTCAATTCTCCTGCCTGTGATATATGCGCAGAATTACAAATCAGTATTGTTCTAAACCACTTTAAAAAACTGTAAAATCATGGAAAGTGTTAGGCATTTTATGATTATTTTGTGAAAAATTGTTTGTTATTGAAAGTGGCCTTTTTGGCTTTCTACTGCTCCTACAAGAAGATGAACTGTTTTCTTTATTCAATTTACTATTTGGAGTCAATTGAAAACTCTTTTCCGCAAAATGCTGTCGAGGGACAGCATTTTTGTTCTGGCCTCTCAACAGCATTTTTGTTCTGGTAAGAGCCAGAGCTTCCAAATTCCACTTATCAAGGTACTATTTGGAGAGTTATATTTTGAATTTGTTCGAAGCTTCAACAGTAAATATAAAAGTTCAAATCACTTGCAAACTTCATGCCAAACATACCTACAGCTATCATATATAAAGTGAATATTTAACAAAACTTTGAGAAAAGCTTTGTTAGAAGTATGTAATTTTTCTGCTTCAAATAAATCTGTTTACTCCCATCTCTTGTCTTTTTCCGTAATTAACTGTTGCTGATCTTCAGCATCTTTTCAGTTTTGTTGATAGAGTTACCCATTATATATGTATAATGATTTGTTTGGCTGACTTTTGATCTTTCATTTTCGATTTATATTCGTTCGATAGTTCAGTATAGGTTTCGGGAGATTTGATTTGAAGTCCAGTCTTCCGAGAGCAATCTTGCTCTAAATTCCTTAATATTTTCTGTGTGGAATTGTCGTCTTGAGTTTTCTATTATAGCACCATTTTCTGTTTCAGTTCTTCTGCTATTGAAACTGATTGTTCTTGATTAGAAACTGAGTTTTCCCAAGTGATCGGAAGAAACGGATATTTGAGACAATTTAGGATGTATAAGTTCAATCTTGTCATGACATCCAGCAAATTTGAAGGATGTTTTTGCTCTCGAGAGTGGAATTGCTTAGCATTGAACATATTTTCCTCTGCAGGTTTCAATGTGGGCGAGTAAAGCCTTACATAAGAACTACTTTGCTATTTTTGTTGGTTTCAAGCCATCAGTTCAATACTTCATTTTTCATTATACTATTGACTTCTATAAGCTGATGGAACATGTTCAACTGATGCAAGCTTTTCTTCACAGTAAAAGGTTTGTGTGATAAATCCTCACGCTATTTTTTTTAATGACAAACCCATAGGGTTCATCAATAATAATAGAGGTAATTTTTTTAGTTTACTAATAAAAAATATGTTCTTTAGAAAGAATTAAAGGTGTATAAGACTAGTTTGTTGGATAATCACTTTGTAAAATTTCATGAATTCACTTACTTTCCCAAAGAATCGTCAATATCTCCCCTGTTGGGAGAAACTCCTCTATAGCGACCAGCACAACTTAGAGGCATCAACTCATCTGCAGGATACGCATTGTACATATATGCGTTGTAGGCATGGTAAAACATATCTCTGGCTTCCTCCCTTCAAGAAAAATGTATTTATTACAAGGAAATATTTTTCCACGTCAGGATCATTACCTCAGACCAATCCTTTCTTCCTTGGATATGTGCTTTATTCCATGACATGATGAGAATGTAAGGATTACAATAGTGATTAGAAATTTATTCAACAAATTTTCAGAGAAAATCATTTTAAAGGCAACGAAAAATTCGTCAAGGAAATCGTTTTGTACTTAATAACATATTGTTAATGCTACTGTCAAAACAGAAATGATAAGAATTCTTATCAGTTAAGGTAAGTTATTTCAAGTGCGCTTGCTATTGCAGGAGACATTGTTCACAAATTTTGAACTATTTGTGCTACTAACACTCTAAACAGTTATCGGTATAATTTAGTAACTTCAAACCATCACATAAAGGCAAAAATGACAGATCGCCCTTTCCACTTTTTGCCAAAACCTCAGCTGGCAACTGCTGACCTGTCTTCGGATGGGAGGAGCTTAATTAAAATATTTACTCTTGTAAAGAACGTCATTTGAAGACATATCGACCGAATTACATGACGTCACCAAGAGGAACAATATAGTTAGAGAATCACCGGTCAGTGGGATAGCATATTGAATACAGCTTTCTAAGATTTTTTATAGAAATGTCCATACAAATTTATGCTCGATTGAATTAAATACATCTAAATTTTATTCCATGAGTATTTCACTAGATTGTTGGATTTAGTAGCTACCATTTTGTTATTTGCAAAGTTTAATGTAGCAGATAAAGCGACCAGGGGTCTTTGGAACATTGATATCTTCCAGAGTTGATTTGGAGTTCTTGTTTTCAGAAGAGATTGAATGGCCTTATTCTTTTCGAATTATTTACTAGTCAGATCGGCCGCTTGGATGATGAGATTCAATGAACTTATGAAGAAGACAATTGGTCAGCCAACATCCAAGATTTACTCAGATGAGCGTGTCAGATATAGTTTTCCTAATCGACATCGTATAGAAGTAAACTTCTATAGGGTGTAAGCGACAAGTATGTAATATTTAAATCTGATGACCGGTTGAAATGTTTGGTTGAAATACAGTCTCAATTTTTGTTTGAAAAATTGATTTCGTAAAAAATAATAATTCGATAAAAATCATTATTTATTTTCTCTAGAGAAGTGATTTTTGTATAACATACTCTTCATATTCATTTGAATGTGATTCCTATTTCAGTATTTGCTACCCAGTAGAATGTTAAAGACCTATACCTTAGACCTTCTCTTGTCTAAGACATTGTCTGAATCCTTAGACAATGTCTAAGACCTATCCGAGGACTGAGGCCTAATACGAGAGAAGAAGATATTTGATTTTCCCGAACTTCTAACCTGCACGTAAACAAAAACAGTTTAAATTTTCATAAACTGCTTAACGTTTAAAGACGTGTTCAAAATTTTCAGAAACTAACACTTACTCTTGAATTTAATGTTCACTTCAATATTATTGATGACAAATAATGGAGAATAAATTGAAACGATATGAAAAAATTGAATTTCTTGGAGAAGGACAATTTGCAACAGTGTATAAAGCTAGAGATGTAGAAACTGAGAACATAGTGGCCGTAAAAAAAATCAAAATAGGTAGTCGACAAGAAGCTCAAGATGGAATAAATAGAACAGCTTTGAGAGAAATAAAGCTCCTCCAAGAATTGCACCATAAAAATCTAATTGGCCTACTAGATGTGTTTGGGCATATGTCTAATGTTTCACTTGTTTTTGATTTTATGGACACAGATCTTGAAGTTATAATCAAAGATAATAGTATCATCATCACGACTGCCAACATAAAATCATATATGTTACAGACACTTCACGGTTTGGAATTTTTACACTTGAACTGGATACTACACAGAGACTTGAAACCAAATAATTTGCTTGTGAATTCAAGTGGAGTTCTGAAAATAGGAGATTTTGGATTAGCCAAGTTATATGGATCTCCAAATCGAATAAATACCCATCAGGTTGTTACACGGTGGTACCGAGCGCCTGAACTTTTATATGGTGCAAAACAATATAGCACTGGTATTGATATGTGGGCAGTAGGTTGTATATTAGCTGAACTATTACTAAGAGTTCCTGTGTTCCCAGGAGAATCTGATTTGGATCAACTAACAAAGATTTTTGGAGTATTAGGAAACCCTACCGAAGAAAATTGGCCGGGAGTGAAAAGTTTAACGGACTACATAGAATTCATACCTTTCACTCCTATTCCCCTCAAGAATATTTTCACTGCTGCTGGGGACGATTTATTGGATTTACTGGAGGGTCTCCTAGTTTTGAATCCAATTAAAAGAAGAGAATGTACAGAATGTTTGCAAATGCCATTTTTCAGCAATAAACCCGCTCCAACTCCTGGTTCTAAACTGCCACTACCCCAGTGTATAAAAAAGGTTAAGGAAAATGAGAAACCTTCTTTGAAGCGGAAAATATTAGATGCTGCTGATGGGGGAACCTTGTCGAAAAGGTTATTTTTTTAACATAGAGGTTTGAAAAATTAATCTATAGAATTTTTAAATAATCATTCCTAACTTAAAAAATGAATTTTGTAAATTTTTTTTTTCGTATTTCAGAATAAGTATGGGTTAACTCACTGATTTCAGTTTGTTGTTTTGTTGAAAATAATAAAAAAATGAAACAAGATTTGTGATTTTTTTTTCAATAATCTCCCAGTTTTTTATTTGTGAAACAATAATTTTATTCGGAAACATAGACGAATGACACTGTCCTCACCACTCGAGAATTGACAACTTTTAACTCTGAAATATATTTTTCAACTCCGATATTCAGAGTTTCAAATCGGAATTTATGAGATAAATATTGGAAAAATATCATGAGTTGAGAGTCAGAAAATTTGTGTGGCTCTTCTACGCTTCCGTGAGTATCTCCTTTATATCCCAATAAATAAAAATTTAACAAGATTTAAGAGTTTTGTTGAAAGAATTGTGTATTTTTTTATTTTTAGGAACTGAGGAAAAATGTCGATGTGAAATTTTATAAAAGTCAGAATCTATTCGGTGACATTTTTGTTCTAGTGTATTCGTGTATTTTTTCTTGAAATCGGCATTTTCTGCCCTTTAAAAATAAAATTTTTCATCAAACTATATCTTCCTAGTCCGAAAATAAAGTCTTCAAGTGCCAAATAGAAAAGGAATATTGGTGTGAATAGTAAATTAGAATTATTTATATATGCTAGTAACCCCCAAGTAATGAAACACTTTTTTCTTTTATTTTACAATAGTGCCTTGGATTTTCTCGTGATTTCCCAGTTTGTAGTAGTTTTCATATTGTATATCATCCACATGCTCTGTATTTTTCAATACTTACACTTCAATGTGTTATAATAGCCGGTGTTTGTCTAAATCTTATGATTATTTTCCCTTGATGCATCAAAACTAATCAGTTGAAGACTAAGCAGCGTTACATCAAGTAAATGCATTATAACTATTGTCCGATTATCCTTAAATTCATATTTTGGTTTTAAGCAAATGCCATTTGATTTGCACACAAACACGGCATATAATTCCTAAATCGTAGTGTAATTGTTTCGCTTTCAAAATGCTATTAACTTCAATTTTCAGTTGTACACCAAGTTTCTTACACATTTCTCAGTGGAAATATTGCTTGATTAGTCGGTAAGCAGCGTCAATAACGTCTTCAGTTACGAAGAAGCTATCTATGGCCAATTTTGTAACGTTCTTCAGGCGTGTCGCTATTGTATGGCTAAACACGTGTTACGCTTAGTGGAAATCTCACAATGAGGTGTTGGTGGAGGTATAGTGGAAAAAAAATCATGGCTTTTGTATCACGATAATTCACCTGCTAACTCGTCATTGCTTGTACTTAATTTTTTCGCTAAAAACAACACCATAATCATGCCTCAGCCACCAGATTTGGTCCCCTGCGACTTTTATCTGTTCCCAAGAAAGGATGCCGTTTTGCGAAGTTCCCCGGAACTTGTTGAATTCATAACTTCAAATTTGAATCCGCAGAGAACAAGAAATACAGAAATCTTCAAAGTACCCTTTCATTATACCAACTATGACCAGACTGAGTCTATATGTAGAATTTTGAGACTCGCAAACATATACAATATAATTTCATAAACTACACCTTACGATTTGATGTGTAGTTTATGAAATTACTGTGGATCTTCATCAAGTAACGGCTGAATCAATCAGAAAACATACAATATAGATTTGAAACTTTTCAATTCTTCTTTAGAAAAGCGTGTGACGACTTATTTTTGCCTTTCTTTTTTTATATTCTTCCCTCACATCTAGCTGATAGTTATATTATTCATTACATATGTGTGAATTTGTTAATTTTGTAAAAAAAAAGGAAAAGCCATGAATAAATAAATTAATGAGAATCAAGGTCTACAATAAATTGACAGGAAACAATAAAAACTTATCCTAGTAGATTCTAATTCTAAAGGAATTATAAAACAGTTATCGCTGAGAAAAGCTTAACTACTAATAAATATTACCACTAAATATTACTACTACTAATAAATGTTATTCTAGAGGAAGATAAAAAACCAGTTTTTATCTTCCTCTTGAAGATGATCACTTGGTGATCGAAACACGTATCGAGGCGTAAAAATAACGATTTGGTGTTGGGAAAAAACTTCAGTAATATTATATATATTTATTGTATTACGTTACACATATTCTTAGCGGTTAAATTCACTTCCAGACTTATTTGACATCATACTCTGTGTTACGACTTCTATAGTTATTTTTCCTTTCCTCTATAGTTATTTTTTAAAACTGTATTTTTAGTCGAACAAAATTTTAATGACTTTTCCAAAATAACTTCTAACAGTCTCCCTCTTTTATCAACAACTATATGGCGAGCAAAAAAATATAAAAACAAGCAACAAATTGAATAATTGGAAAATCTGAATAACAAGTTTCAACACTCCATATGATCTAAACAAAACATCACTTTACATATATCGAGGGTATTAGATTTTATTTAAAAGAGCAGTTCATCTGATTGGAGACCCAAACGTCACAAGGGATCTTGATAGCCCGACACATAGAAGGTTGGGGGCTTGTCTTTTTCTGTAGAGAATTTCAAGCATAGGCAAAACAGTTTTCGAGGTTCAACCCACTATATCTTGAAACACTCTTTAACTTGGAGAACAGCATTCTTATGGAATTAATTTCCCAAGACAGTTTTTCCTAATGCCGACAGCTTTTTCTACAGTGACTCAAATAAAACATGAATCGCCATTTCTGTACAGACGCTGCTCTAGGAATGTTTAATGTATTTGCATCTGCTGCTCATGAATCTCCATGAAAAAAAATTATAAAAATACATATTGCATGAGAATCACCCAATATTGCCACATTCTAAGGCCAATATTTATGATTTTTTTATAGAAATTCATTTTAAAATAGATTGTACTCAAGTGGCTATGTGTTTGACTTGCACTTGACGTAAGGATCAAAAAATCTGGCATTCTCAAATCCTGAGCACAATGTAGTTCATTAATACCAGTGATTTGTCATTACAATTCATAAAAATTGATACCGTGATACCTATAAACGGGACAAGCTGTTAAACCAGTAACTATGAATTGAACTAGTCACTATCAAAATATTAGTTTTGCTAATATGTTTTTCTTACTTTCAAATTTAGTTTTAAAAAATAAATATCGGATGGTTTATTATTTCTATTATTTATTTTAGAAAGTATATTCCTTCGACAATTATATTTCAAACAAATGCCAATAAACCTCTCAACTCACTTGAGAGTGGACAGGGTGTACTTCAAATGAGGGACAGGAGAATAAACTTATACTTGCTGCAAGTCTCAAACAAAATTTGCATTTGTTAACAATCTGATTTACAATCCAATTTGTAATCTAACTTGTAATCTAAATATGCCATATCAAAAGTGTGCACCCTTACAAAACCATCTTCACCACCAGAGCTGTAGCTTTCTCCGTCAGGATGAAACGCAACACTATTGATAGGCCCGAAATGCCCCTTGACTCTTCCAAATTCTTCTTCACAAACCATGTGGAAAAATCTGGAGTCGAATTTACCAATCCTCGCAGAAGTAGTTGTTACATCCATAGCATCTTGACCACCACCCAAGACAACATGCTCCCGAATTGGACTAATTGCAGCCGAGTTCACTGGTCTCTCAGTTTTGTAGGTCTTCAAATGAAGCAAATCTTTAGCATCAAACAGTTTAGCTGTGTGATCCTTTGAAGCTGTGATGAAAATAGTACCATCATGATTCCACTGCATATCATTTATCAAGAGATCATGACCTTTGACTGAATTGAGCTGTTTCCCAGTCTGAAATGCAGGTTATGAATTAGTTACAAGACAAATCCAGAAATCACATTGAAAAATTGTTTTTTGTTGGGGGCTGTCAGACTATTAGTTTGTGGGATAGAACGCTATTCAGACTTTGCACCAAGAAAATAAACCGTTGAGAAGTGGTTTGCTAAGATGAAACGGGGTGAAATGAGCACTGAGGATGATGAACTTATCAAGTTTTGCCAAGACGAAAAGATCATAACTTTAGTGAAAAATTTTTTCTATTCATCAACGTGTAAATGGTACTTCAACTCAGCCTGCTTTAAAATGAAACACTACACAACTACAAACAAGAAATAAATTATGGAACATAGATTCTAATTGACAAAAAAGAAGGTAACATTTCTCATCTTTTCAATAGCCATATAAATTTGATGACAGACTCATTTATAGTTTGTGTAATACTGCCAACAGAACCAACTAAAAAGTACTTTGTGAAAGTCACATTTAGTTTCATAAAGAATAGTTCCATATTTTACTCAAAAGAGAGACATGTTTGACATGTCAAATTTATTGCAAACTGTCAAACATGATATCAAATTGATATAAATTTATGTATTCTAATTAGACCGTATAGTAACACTTGAGTTGTACTGAAACTACAAATGATAATTTAAAAGTAATGCTAGGAATAAGTGTCATAAGAAGATGGAAGAATAAACGCAATGAGCCCAAGAGGCTGCAGTATTTTCTGGACTTGGACTAAATGGACAAGTAAGACAGCTCTCAAGGGACAAAAAAAAATGCTAGGAATGAATTTTTGACAAAAATGACAAATATCCAACACGGAACCTGTACAAACTAGTACAGGGAACGAGACTGATGGAATAGGTGTCATGAGAAGATGGAAGAATAAACGCAATGAGCCCAAGAGGCTGCAGTGTTTTCTGGACTTGGACTAAATGGAAAAGTAAGACAGCTCTCAAGGGACAAAAAAAATGCTAGGAATGAATTTTTGACAAAAAAGTTGTCAATCATACACCTCTTTTGAAGATGATGTAGTTTGTTGGAAACAAAATAAATTTGGGGAAATTAAATGTAATGTGATGTATGTTTGTACTGGCGTGGCAAGTGAATTTAGGTCCATAGCATACGATCATGAAATATGATGTTAACAGGGACATTTAAATAAAAATTAAATAGCCGTTTGTTTGTTTTTGTTTGAAAAAGCTAGGTAATAATTTCAAAAATTACCTTCAGATCCCACTGAATTATTTCTCCATCTTCATGTCCAGTAATGATAGTTTCGTCAAGGTTATCCCATAAAATAGAAGCAACCCTAGAACCTTTAATAGGGATCCTCAAGATTGGATCTTGACTGCCTACACTATCATCAACATTTCTCGTATCGATTACAAACATTTCACAGGGCTGCTTCATGGCCTTGTCTGTCGTATATACCGCCATATTGGCTGAGTAGCTAAACAAACAGGTTCTAACAGACGAGGCAGTTTTAATATTTCCTATTTCTCTACCAGTCTCACAATCCCATATTTTGCATGTATTGTCACCTGCACCTGACATAAATCTTGTGGTAGTCCAATCGACGTCGATACACCAGACTGCTCCTTGATGTCCATTGAAGGTTCCCAAACGTTCACCATTCAAGGAAAACCAAACATTTGGCTTGTTGTCCTTCGAAGATGAAAACAAGAGATCGCCTTCTCTGTTGTATTTGATTTGCGTTATGGCACGTTCGTGCCCTTGTAACATAATCGGTTTCTAGAAAAAAAAAACTACAACTTTCGAAGTTAATTATATAGAAACTCACCATTTTTTTTAACTCTAAAAATTATTCAGATTTCCAATAAAATAGGTTTCTAACAACATATGAATGTAAGGAAACGAAAAAGAGAAGGGCAGAAGAGGATGAATCGTTCTCTGGTGTTGAGGTTACCTTCATCTTCTTCTGCAACTTTGATACATTGGTTTTGTGAAAGTTCCGTTCGTTTCCGTCCACTATTCCACTCGGAGTAGATTGTTATCCACCAATAAGTACTTGTTTCTTAATCAGTGAAGCGACAATTATGATTTCAATCCTTGAAAATCTGTTATTCCGAAACAAAAATCAACATAGCCATTATGTGACAACGCCTAAAAACAAATTAAATGATTTTTTTTCTGATGAAGATTCATAGTAATTTCAAAAACTACACTTTACGATTTGTTCTTCACAAACTTCATTTTCAAAAATATCAAGGAATGTTTCGCTATCACAGTAGCTTTTTCATAGTGAATCATATGTTATTCAGTGAATCAGTATGTTATTCACTACGAAAAACATACTGGGTTAGCAAAACATGTGATATTTTGGAAAATGAAGTTTGTGAAGATCAAATCTTAGTGTTGTTAAATGAACTAACGAACGACAATAACGTCTAATATTTGGACAAACGAACAGAATATAGATAATAATCTTGTCAGATGTCAAATTAGTTCGTCTGTTTGTCGTTCGAATATTCGTATTTATGTTCTATGCAAAGAGTACAGGTAGTTATAGTACACTTGATTCTATCAGAGAATATTCTATGGTTCTATGTTCGTCTTTCTCACTCTTACTATTTTCATGTTATTGTAATTTATTTCGAAATTGGTAATTCTTTTCGAAATTTGTAAAATAATAATGGTTAGTTTCAATAGAATATCATTATTAGACCCAGAAAGTATGACACGATTATAAGTTGAAGAAGAACGAGGTAGCCAAATCAACATCTTTTTGAAAAATGGGACGTTACCTTCTATTTTCAAGAATATCTGCTACATTATTCAGAATGGTTTTGAGAGTTTGGGCCTACTCAGGTCTTGTTTTGGTATTTTGTTTTTTAGTGTATTATATGTATGGTGGAATATTTGCCATATTATTATTGTCTTTTGCTGTCACAGGTATTGAATTGATATTTGTTTTACAAAAATGAGTAAACCCTATGATTTTATTTTTTAGGTATTTTATACCAAGTTCAAGATAATCTGATATATACTCCAGAGTTACCAAATCACTCCAGAGTTTTTGTACCCATACCATCCACATTCAATCTTCCACATGAGAGTATAATGACAAAGACAGCGGATGGCACCCAAATTCATATGTATTTTATACATCAACCGAAAGAAAAACAACGAGTTGCCCCTACAATAATATTTTTTCATGGCAATGCTGGAAATATGGGTCACCGATTACAAAACTGTGTAGGGTTGTACCACAACCTCCACTGCAACATTCTTTTAGTTGAATATAGGGGGTATGGGCTTTCAGAAGGCAGCCCTTCAGAAGAAGGACTGTATATGGATGCTAGAGCTAGCATTGATTATTTATATTCTCGAAATGATATAATTCATTCAGCAATCATTGTGTTTGGACGATCTCTGGGTATGTCAACTTTGATGATTAATAGTTTGTTTTTTGATAGATACAATTGGTACCTTTAGCTAAAAATTAATAAAAGCACTTTTCTCGCACTTCTCCAGGTGTGCAAAACTGTTTTTAATGAAGTAATTGTTACTTTGTATAGAATCTGAAAAAATATTTCAAGAGATACAATTTATCTAGTTGAATTTGGGATGATTCTGTAACGTTACCTGGCTGAAGGATTGAGTAGCCATGATGCTCCCTAGGTGGCTCGGAAAGTTATTAACATAAACAAAGTAGTCAATGCCTTTGATACCAAAAAGAAAAAAAAATTATCATCTCGTTTTTTTGTAGGTGGTGCTGTAGCTATAGATTTAGCTACAAGAAAAGAGTATGCCGGTAAAATATGGTGCTTGATTGTAGAGAATACGTTTACTAGCATTCCACACATGGCAAAAGTACTGTTAGGGTGGCGAATTCTTCAGTATTTTCCTCTGTTTTTTTATAAAAATAAGGTGAATATAAGTTATAAGTTTTTTGTTTTCTTACAAAAAATAAAAGCGTCTTGAGCACTAGTATTTCACTATCATCAAAGTTTATTATACATTGCAAACTGAAACAGAAAACTCTGTAAATAGTTGGAATGGGTAAATATTTGTATCGAATAATATTATTTTTACTAGTGCTAGGATGAAAAAGTTACAGTAGGACTGCAATTATCCGAATCATTTAGGAAAAAACAATGTTTAGTTCACATTTTCCAGATATTTGATTATATGGACAATGAATTGTCCCATTTGATCAGGATGGTTGGAGTTCTACTGATGTTTTCGGTGAAAAATTTCAATAGAAAAAATTTCACTCTATTCATTTAACTTTGAATTTGTTGAAAAAATATTCAGAAATTTAAGAGTTACATAGTTATGTCGACTGGTTCTAATGATGTTCATAGACTATCTTGAATAGGGAAAAATGACCAATAGCTACTATTACATAGCGTTTGGAGGACGATAGCGCGGAAAAACGGCTCCATTTGAAGAAAAAGAAAGTTCTGTTTCATGCAAAACAAAGCACTGTGTCACAAATCGATGAAAACGATGGCAAAATTGCATGAATTGGGCTTCGAATTGCTTCCACATCCACCGTATCCTCCAGATCTGACCTCCAGCGACTTTTCACTGTTCTCAAACCTCAAGAGAATGTTCGCTGGAAAGAAATTCAGCGCTGATGAAAATATAATAGTAACAGGCCTATTTCGAGGATAAAGACAAATGGTATTGAAAAATCATATTACCGCTATAGTTGTTATATGTGACAGATTTCAACGAAACAGATTTTTAACACATCAATATTTCACTATCGTATACATCCTATAAACTTGGAAATGAATGTCAGTCTGTAGTACCGCCATTCTTATATCAGATCTATGTTCTCATATGAAGTTAACTGTTTAGCATGTCACAATAAAATAGCATTTTTTTTCAGTTCGTGTCATATCAGAAGGTGAAAGAATTAAGAGTTCCTACTCTTTTTGTATCGGGATTGGCTGACACATTGGTTCCGCCCCAGATGATGAAAGAATTGCATATGAGCTGTAGTAGCTCTAGGAAAAATCTTTTACAAATTCCAGCTGGTACCCACAATGAAACCTGGCAAATTCAAGGGTATTATCGCTCTTTGGCTGTGTTCTTACAAAGTTGTAGGTTAGAAAATAATATTAAAAAAGACTTTGATATTAAAGTTGAAAACGAAAAAACGCAAAGTAATAGTTTATGGAATAATGTACAAACTATATAATTTATAAATGCATTTTTGTAAATAGTTTAAAACTACGATTTTTAAAAATAGCAATTTTTATTCAATTCCTGTTTTTATTCAATTCCTGTTTTTATTCAATTCCTGTTTTTATTCAATTCACGTTTTTATACAATTATTGTTTTTAATTTAATTCAAGATATATTTTTATATTTAGTACATCCTAATTTGGAGTGGATATCCTGCTTTTTCATATCGATTTACAGTCTAGAATTGAATAATTGCAAAAAAGAACATGACATGAATTTCCGCTTGTACTTCATGTCATTAACTGACTGAGCCTTTGTAAACTGTTCTTTACTGAACAAGGTGTATCGTTCACCATGAAATATGTATATTTCATTAAAATGCATTTACTATTACAAATCGTTTTAGTTCATTAAAATATGAAAAATGATCGAATGTATCATTTCTCTAAGTTTTAATGAAAAATTTTTCAAACCGCCACATTGGTAGCATCCAGTGACGGAGTATACAATTTATATGTTTTGTTCACCTTAATATTGCCTCTGCAACGTACAAGCACATTAGATCGAAAATATTTGAATTCCTCTTTGTATCATAAAAATTACAAAATTATCGATCAACGCATGCGCAGGTCTGCAGCTGTCATCGGAGGTCTGCAGTTTGACGCACGTCTAGAGACAGCATTTTTGTTCTGTTGAAGGAAAATTATTTTCAATAGAACTTGTCGGTAATTTGCTTTGTTGCGTATTGTATTGTAGGTGAGAATTCTCACCGTAGGACAAGTGGAGTGCCACCTTCTCAGTTTGTATATAATGGACCGATACTTAAAGAAAATTCATGGTTTTCCCAAGTAACATTTTATTTTGTGAGATTTCCACAAGGCAGTTTGCAATCCAGAACACGTATTTCACCATGCAGTAGCTTCCTCAAACTCTGTGTTCCCTGATAAACAATGAGGGGAAATACACAGGAAACGACCACCACAGATGAAACAAAATACACTGTTCTATGCCATGGATTACGTTTAATTTTGCTGCTCGAACAACTGATCGGAGTAACTTGATGTAAAACAGTTTTTGTTTCGCTGTGTGGCTAAATAACAAATGACAGCTGTTTGACATAAAACTAGTAGACATTTTGATTTTTGAAAGGGTGTACGATTTTTGTTCGCAATTATCGCAACAAAACATTCTGTAGACAACCCTAAGTGGCATGAATACTACGGATTCACACGTGTCACCGGTTTTATCGAAATTACCTGCAAGTGTAGAGCCATACGTTCGCTTTAATGAACAGGAGAAAATGAAGTCGCACCTTTGAGATACCTGAGAGGATGTTTCTTCATACTGCTGTACCAATATTTGTGATATTTATATTTGATATTGAATTTTTTTTGAGCTTTTATGTAAATTTCGATTTAAAACTAATTAATACAGTTTATCGTACGATTTTCACAATAAAATGTTGATTTTATTCATGAAACAACTCTACCTCTATCAAATCGGTAATATCAGTCATTTTCCTGGTTACAATTGATTAAATAAAAAAATATCATGTTGAAACTTTTTAGATCTACATTTAAAATTTGAATGAGTACATGTTATTTTCACTCAAAAACAAATTATGAAATATCCCAAACCCCGAAACAAATTTTAAAATACCAACGCCGCTGAATTGGCAGGTTTCACCATCCCAATAGGACGGAGGTCCACGAAAATAGATTCCTCAGATTAAATGTGCCGCTGTCAGGTGTCTCTTCGTCCCTTCTGATTCTTTTATTCCGCGTCTTGGATTGCCATAAGACTTCTAGGAATCTTAGATTGCCAGTATTTGCAATTGACAGCTTGTCAGTATTGGCAGATTGGCACTATTGGCTTGGCAGACTTGTCACTTGTCACAGCTTGTTATTAAACAAAGAGAAGATTGCATGTAGACAGGAAATGTCCCAAAATTACAATTTACATTTACGATCAGGAAAACCTGGGTTCCTGTGATTAACTGTAATCAAAGGGTAGTTGTTTGGAATTATAGATCGAAACATTACCCAAACAGTTTGTTAATGATGAGTGATAAAGATAAATCTAAACCGGCCCAGCCGAAACATATTCCAAAAGATGGGCAGGTTATAATGGCAATCATGAAGGAAATGGGAATTACAGATTATGAACCGAAAACTATAGTGCAACTAACTGAATTTGTATATAGATATGCTACATCAATTTTGGAAGAAGCTCGCATGTATGCTAATAACTCCAAAAAGAAATTTCTAGATGTTGATGACGTTCGTTTGGCCTTACAGCTTACTTGTGAGTCGACATTTACCACTCCACCACCAAGAGAAGTTCTACTAGAACTGGCACAGGCAAAAAATTATTCTGCTCTACCCCCAGTGAAACCTCATTGCGGATTGAGATTACCTCCGGATCGGTATTGTTTGTCTTCATGTAACTATACATTGAGAAGTGCCCAGAAGAAAATCGGTAAAAGTAATTTTGGTATATCAGGCGGTCCAGGAATGAAACTAACACCTAAGTCTAACATCAGCTTTTTAAAGCGTACGAATACACCAGTTTCCAAGCAAACAGTCAGTATCCCCAAACCTGTGACTAAAATCAACACCCAGTCTCAAAAAACTGTATTGAAACCAAAGATACAAATCACACAGAATGTACAGCTGGCACCTGCTAATGGAATGGAGATTGACCCCAACAGTTTGAAAAGAAAACGTGAAGATGAATCTGAAAATGGAGTTTGAACTTTCAAGTTATTTTGGTATTTTTCCATTAGGTATTTAATGATACTTGACGATGTCTATATGCTCTTACCAATATGTTTTTAAGAGTCAAGAGACAATCATCTTGGAGTTGTAATTAAATTGATTTCGAGTTGTAAGTTAATAATTTGTTTTATTCACGTTACTATTGAAACATTGAAAAGAATGGTGTGCAAGTAATATAATTTTATTGATTTTAATCATATGTTTTAAGATATGTGATGGAATCGGCCTATACTTGATGAAAATTAATAGGGTATTCAAGAGACACTTTATTGTGAGATTTCCACTAAAGAGTTTTATAGAAACAATAGTTTTGCTATACAATAGCTTCTTTTACTGGGATAATTTTTTCCCAAAGGACTAAAGAGCATAGAAGCACAAGGACATGAGTCCAATCACTACTATGACGTGTTACATTTAGAAGAAAAAAATTTAAAACTCACTTTTTAGAATGTTTTATAATAATAATAATAATAGTTTTATTGTCCAACCGTTTATTGAATCACCAAATGGAATTAAATAACTCTCCATTACTGTTATATTTTTCTAATGTGAAAACTGGTAATCAATTGATAAAAAAGCTCAGGAAATTTCGTTCATTAAACGTTTCATCTGTCTGTGGTGTATTTTTGGAAAAATTTTTAGCTATTCTACTATTCAAGCATATATTTTAAACATAGTTGAAAATAGACAACACCTTTGTCTAGCAGTATACATTCCAAGTTTAATTCCAAAATTTCGACTTCATACTTGAAATTACGACTTTAATACTGATATTACGAATTTGAACTCGAAAGTACGATTTTAATATTACGAATTCAAACTCAAAATTACTACTTTAATCTCAATATTATGACTTCAAACTCGAAATTATGACTTCAATATTACGACTTGTAACTCAATATTACGACTCTATACTCAAAATTACGACTTCAATGTCAATATTACGAATTCAAACTTGAAATTACGACTTTAATCTCAATATTACGACTTTCAACTCGAAATTACGACTTCAATATCAATATTACGACTTTTAACTCGAAATTACTACTTTAATCTGAATATTATGACTTTAAATTCGAAATTACGACTTCAATCTCGAAATTACTACTTTAAACTGGAAATTACGACTTTAATATCAATATTACGAATTTGAACTCGAAATTATGACTTTAATCTCAATACTACGACTTTGAACTCGAAATTACATCAATATTACGAATTTAAACTCGAAATTACTACTTTCATCTCAAAATTACGACTTTAATGTCAATATTACGACTTTTAACAGGAAATTACGACTTCAATATCAATATTACGAATTTAAACTCGAAATTATGACTTTAATCGCAATATTCTGTCTGTTTAAAAAAATCTGATTTTCCGTTAACCTGCTGTCGCACCCGTAAGGGAAACGACAACCCTCAGAAGTCGAAACTTGTGCGAGCTAAGGATTAACGAGGTCTTATACCTTTTAACGTGTGATTCCTAACACGGGTTGGACGATAGCAAGTGAAGATCGATCGTTCAGATTAGGGCTTGAACCACCGACCAACACGGCAGTCAATTCGAGTGAGTGAACAAAGCACCCACGCCGAACCGCTTGGCTACCGACCGACTTTAAACTCGAAATTACGACTTCAATATCAATATTACGACTAGTACTCGAAATTACGACTTTAATCTAGATATTAGGAATTTAAATTCAAAATTTTGATATTAAAGACGTGATTTCTAATACTCCAACGACTTTTGAAATTAAAAACAATTAACTTTCTATAATCGTAATACCCATTGCATAGAAATGAATACAAAGATAAATTTATTCTGGCTTATAGTTGGAATGTTTTACTGAGAACCAATCAGAATGGTGTAACAATTAATATACAATAAGTGTCCTTCTGTTTTTTTGTCATAATTTCAAAACATTCAACGCTTTCTCACTTTACAATAAATTGCCAAATTCAATAAAGGAGTCCAAATCAGATGGAATTTTTATGAATAATACGAAAATATTCTTAATAAAAAAATGTTTTTATAGTTTTAAAGACTATTGAGCTGATAATTGTGATAATAATTCCTAATGTAAAACAATATTAAGTATTACTTCCTTTTGAAATTGTGATATTTGCATAATTATGAGCCGTGATTTATGTTTTATCTTTATTGTTTAATTTTTTATTCAAGTATGACCAACTATTGTTTTCATTCTTCATATGTTCACGTACTTCAATTATTGACTTACCTACCATATGCACATTGGGTACCGTAAATGGTCAATAAAATTATTATTTGAGAGAAAACAACCACATATACGATTCCTGGACCTATATATAATGAACAATTCTGCCATTACTAAACTATTATGATTTTATACAATCGAAAGGCTTGGATCAAATTACGATACATTCTAAAGAATTGGAATTGCTGCTGTGAATCGCACGTTAAAAGGTAAAACCTTGTTAATCATTAGCTCGCACAAGTTGAGCGTTGTCGTTCATAAGGGGACGACAGTAGGTTAACGGAAAAACACATTTGTCATCCAATTGCATGTTCAATGCACCGAAAAACCAATTGACTCAATTATAAGTCTTTATACAGTTAATTAAAAGTCCCGTCATCTATTTTGAAATACTCAAATTCCCTTACTTATTATAGGCTTGGCAACATCGCGTTATAAATTAATCTAAGAAATGACAATAGCGGATGTCGAGTTAAACTTCAAATCTTGAATTAGTTCAAACATGAAAAGTAAGGCAAAAGTGAATAAAACCTGGGAGGTGAGTTGCGAAAATAATTTTTATTTTGGTTTCCATTTGTTTGAATGAATGAACTAACTATAATATATATCCAACACTTTTAATGATTTTTTAATCAATATTTTACGAAATAATTTTTTATAACAATGACATCCTTCACTCGTTACGGTTTTACCTAAGCCCTCAAAATATTTTCGTTTATACAGGGTCACGCAATTCAAACGTAGTCTGGTTTCCGAAATGGAAGAACTCTTCTATTTTTTAATTATTACACTCATCACTTTGAACTTGATTAATAGTTCTGATGTTTTGGCAATTTATCGTTTGTTTCGTTAGAGTTGAAAAAAATAGTCAGTGGTGAAAATAAATAACAGTGAAAAACCAAAAATAACCACGCACAATAATCGATGAAAAAAGTAGTACCCAATTTTCGAGCGCAAATATATATATAAAGCATTGAAGATGTAGATTTTATAAATATTGCTGTTATCTGTGCTTGCAGAAAATTATCCCGAAATTACAATTTACATTTACGATCAGGAAAACCTTGGTTCCTGTGATTAACTGTAATCAAAGTGTAGTTGTTTGGAATTATAGATTGAAACATTACCCAAACAGTTTGTTAATGATGAGTGATAAAGATAAATCTAAACCGGCCCAGCCGAAACATATTCCAAAAGATGGGCAGGTTATAATGGCAATCATGAAGGAAATGGGAATTACAGATTATGAACCGAAAACTATAGTGCAACTAACTGAATTTGTATATAGATATGCTACATCAATTTTGGAAGAAGCTCGCATGTATGCTAATAACTCCAAAAAGAAATTTCTAGATGTTGATGACGTTCGTTTGGCCTTACAGCTTACTTGTGAGTCGACATTTACCACTCCACCACCAAGAGAAGTTCTACTAGAACTGGCACAGGCAAAAAATTATTCTGCTCTACCCCCAGTGAAACCTCATTGCGGATTGAGATTACCTCCGGATCGGTATTGTTTGTCTTCATGTAACTATACATTGAGAAGTGCCCAGAAGAAAATCGGTAAAAGTAATTTTGGTATATCAGGCGGTCCAGGAATGAAACTAACACCTAAGTCTAACATCAGCTTTTTAAAGCGTACGAATACACCAGTTTCCAAGCAAACAGTCAGTATCCCCAAACCTGTGACTAAAATCAACACCCAGTCTCAAAAAACTGTATTGAAACCAAAGATACAAATCACACAGAATGTACAGCTGGCACCTGCTAATGGAATGGAGATTGACCCCAACAGTTTGAAAAGAAAACGTGAAGATGAATCTGAAAATGGAGTTTGAACTTTCAAGTTATTTTGGTATTTTTCCATTAGGTATTTAATGATACTTGACGATGTCTATATGCTCTTACCAATATGTTTTTAAGAGTCAAGAGACAATCATCTTGGAGTTGTAATTAAATTGATTTCGAGTTGTAAGTTAATAATTTGTTTTATTCACGTTACTATTGAAACATTGAAAAGAATGGTGTGCAAGTAATATAATTTTATTGATTTTAATCATATGTTTTAAGATATGTGATGGAATCGGCCTATACTTGATGAAAATTAATAGGGTATTCAAGAGACACTTTATTGTGAGATTTCCACTAAAGAGTTTTATAGAAACAATAGTTTTGCTATACAATAGCTTCTTTTACTGGGATAATTTTTTCCCAAAGGACTAAAGAGCATAGAAGATTTATTTGAGATGATTTGGGTGTTTCTTTTTACAAATCTTCGATGTTCCAGACTATCAAGGTTGCATCCACCTATCAGGTGGATGGCTCTTTTCTGGATGTAATCCAGCAGCTTCAGGGTGTGTTTGGGGGCGGAGCTCCATACATGAGAACAATACTCCAAAGAAGGTCTGATCTGAGCTTTATAAAGCATCAGAAGTTGCTGAGGTGTGTACAGAGTTTTCTGGTTCGGAACAGTGTTCCAAGTTTTTGGAAAGCAGCCTTTGCAATTCCAGCGACATGATTGTGCAAGACATATTGGTGTCCATTTTAACTCCCAACAAACATATCGAAGCAGAAAGCGGAATTGTCTAACCTGACATTATTATATCCGGTTCGGCGACATTTATCTTTTTGGAGAAAACCGATGCTTGGGTTTTTGTGGCATTGAATTGAACCTGGTTAATTTCACCCCAATTCGAAATCACTTCTAGATCCTCATTAATGTCGAGACAAGTGTGTTGTCGTATTGGATTCTTAGTTTTTTCCAATAAGCCGTTGACATACAATAAAAAGAGGGTTGGAGACAATATGGATCCCTGGGAAACACCAGCGTTGATGCTGAAAGTATTAGAAAGATATCTATCGACGGCCTTTTGCAGGAAACGTTCTTTCAGGAAGCTGGAGAGTCATACACAAAAATGATCCGGCAAGCCATAGCATCGAAGTTTGACCAGCAAACCCTCATGCCACACACGGTCTTACTAATATCAAGAACAACAGCTCTTGACTCTCCATGTTTCTCGATTGCGTTATTCCAAATATGGGTTACATACGACATAAGGACGCCTGTTGATCTGTAGTGCCAAACTTTGCGCGTACAATGTACATCCTCCTGAGGAGTTGTCCTCCTAGGTCATCGTCCATCCTGTCCTTTCCAGGAAGGTGGACAGATACCTCCTTTATATTGACATGTGTAGGCCAAGACTCGCTGAACACACACTCTCTTTGGCAACCTTGAGGTGTCTCACGGTGGCCACCGCGAGGGTTTTGGAAGGTGCAGCGACATTAGTCGTTGCGCGGCTTCTTCAACCTTTTTGGGGTTCCCTCCGTGGAGGTGCACATGTGAGGGAGCTTTCTTGCAGGGGCAGCCGGTTCCTTGCCTTTATTCAAGGCGGAGCTCTTGGCGCCCGCCGCAGGAAGTGCCCTTTCTGTTGGAGGTGGAGTGGGGGAGGAGGAGGGTGCACTGCCTCCTTCGCTCTCTTTCTCTTTTTGGCCTCAGCGCCGCAAATGCGCTCACGCCTAGGCCTTTGTGTGTGTTCCCACGAGTAGCAAGGAAAGAGTTGGTAATCTCTAGCATAGCCCCGCATTACCAGAGGTAGGCTGATTACAATGAGGTTCCGCCCAGTTCCCCAAGGGGATCGTTCGTAACCGCATATCACCATGCGGCCATTCAGCTGTCGGCAGGATTCCTTACACCTTAGCTTGGGTCGGCTGGTACACGGTGACATGTTTTGCAAAGGCTTTTGGGGAGTTTCAGTTCCACTCACCCTACTTATTTCTGCCACTGACCAGGAGTCCGGCGACCCCGTCCGTAAGGCCACATTGGCTTCTTGGACAGGGCCTCCAGTCCCCTGGAGGGGACCTATTGGAGTCCCCAATAGGTACCCCAATAGGTAGCCCAACTCACAGGAACATTTATCGGTAATTTACACGGTGACTGTAAATTTCTGGATTGATTGTTGGATATAGATCCAGATTATGTATTTCATAATGCTTGGAGAAGTACATATGCTCTTACCAATATGATGTTTTTACAGCCAGGAGGCAATCATTGTTGAGTTGAAATAAAATTGATTTTGAGTCGTTACCTAATTAATAGTTTGTTCAATTTACCTTGCTGTAAAAATATTGAGAAATTAGATTTTATACGTCGCAAAGATGTTTCTTTCATTTGCAAAAGCTTTATGACACGTTCGGGAAATGATCAGGTTTAAAACAGTACCAAATATCACTAAGGATACACTACAAAAACACACTTTTGTCTATTTTCCACTATATTTCTTTATTGTTGACCGGTTTCGGCTATAACACCATTTTCAAAACTAACTGATTACATTTAAATCTGAGTAATTTATACCTATGTTGCTCATTCTATCATAAATGATTTGATATTTATTGACTATTATTAAATAATAGTCCTCCTGAACCTATAATCCAGATCCCAAAACCTACATTATATTGAAAGCTTTGTTATGTTCATGGATTTTACAGGTATATGAAACGCAGGTACCGGGTATCAGGTATATCAAATAGACCAAGGTGTATTTTTGTTGTGTATCCTCAGTGAACATGTGTTCCACAAAATAAACAAGTCGTCAATCGAAGAAGTGAGTACCAAATATGCTTGCAAGATTTGATATTTTTGGAAATGAAAGATTTTGGCTTTCTACTCCACCACATTCCTATATCATATCACTGAAAATTGACCGTCGGCCACTCTCTTGGATGATACATAGGTTTTTAGTTTCATTTTGAAATCTAAAGATTTTTTTTTGAGTTTAACCTGTGCGCTACCATTTCCACCGAGGACAAGAATACTGGGGAGAAATCCTCAAAAATCTATTTCTGTAGGGGGGTAGCCGGTTGGGTTGACGTGGTTGGTTTGCTCCACTCAATCGACCGCTGTGTGAACCGGTAATTCGAACCGCAAGGCCGGACGATCGATTCTCACTTCCTATCGTCCAACCCGTGCTAGGAATCACACGTTAAAAGGTAAGACCTCGTTAGCTCGCACAAATTTCGACTTCTGAGGGTTGTTGTAAATAGGGGTTCAACGGAAATACTTGATTTTCATTGTTTTTCTTGTTTCTTTCCATACTCTGTTATTTTCGGTATTCATCCATCTTGTGTTTTTACTCATTCTAGTTTACGATTTCACGAACGTATCAATGTGGAAATATGAACGAGATACTCGGAGGTCAGAGGTACATATGCCATTGAGTGGATGATAGTGTAGGGTGTAGATCATCTATCAATAGTATTAACTGTTGAATGTTAAATATATTTACTCTTTTGACCAAAAAGAGAATGACTTTCAGAATGTGGACACTAATAGAGAAACAAAAAACAATTGATTTATTGAACTCTCTCTTGACCAAAAAAAGTTGACCTAGAATCGAAATGACTTTCAGAATGTGGACACTCATCCAGAAACAAAAAAAAATTGTCACAGCAACTGTGACTGTTAACTTTACATAGGAAATATGTTGAAGTATAATATAAAACATGTGTATTGTTAACAACTAATTTTGACAATCTTGTGTTTGCTTCTGAGAATGAAAATACTCATAATGTTCTTGTTATATAACTCTTGATATTTTTTCAATAAAATTGGCAACGTTTCAATGACATACTCAGTTGAATATGATAAAATCAAAATAATTTTCACTTTGACTATCACTCTCACTATCTTTCGTTCAATAGATAAACTTATTTTCATGTTGTGATATTCTCAGAAAATGTTGTGTACTCTGTCGTATTTAACAATTTTGCCTATCAAAAAAATTGTTAAGAAATAATACAATACTTATCTTAACGTTTCGGAGGCCAAAATCTGCCTCCGTCTTCAGAAATGAATATACATTCTATCTAGTGGAATTCTTGTAGGAATTAATAAAATTCTCAATAAATAATTATTTCTTCTTTGGGATTGCTTTCTGATTTTCTTTGTTTCACCCTCTCTAATTTTTGGTTTATTATTTGTTTTATTTTCTCATCTTATATTTCAGTCTTCTGAGCGGTTGATGTGGCAAGGATCCATGTCTTTATTCACATTATTATTACAATGGTGATGTTCATTCATATAAACTTATATACATACACAATACACACGTAGAAACATATAGAGCGTTCCAACAAAAACTTGCCCCCCCCCCTTTTGAGTCAGAAACGGACGCGTAATCGAAAATTTCAAAGAACACGTTAATTTTTATTTCCAGGGGGACTAATACCGAAAAATCAATTAGGATAATCATCATTTAACGAACAAAGTCCACATCGGACCAAAAAACTTTAGGTATATAAACAGCTAACCCTTGTCTTCAGATTCAGTATCAATTTGTTTCTCCTGAAGATGCTAACCTTGTTAGCGAAACGCGCGTCGAGTGCAAAAATGTCAGTTTGGTGTTAAAGTAATTGATCTCTAGAAAAAGTTTTCAACTTTTACACCAAAG